TGAATTATAAGAATATTTTATACTATTTATTCTAATCTTAACATATTTGTTATGTTCTTATTCTATTTTTTGTCCTCTCCAAGTCAGTTTTGATTCCCAATGAGTGCCTGGAAAAGTCCCGGCAGTTTCCTTGGGAAGATTTCAAAAGTGATTTGCCATTGCCTTGTTCCTAGGGCTAAGTCAGTGTGACTGGCTTAAGGTCACCATGATAGTGTAACTATTAGAACCCACAGTCTCCCAGTTTCTAATTTGATACCTTAACCACTGCACCAAACCGGGGCACTCTATTTATCATAGCTGATTCTATTTATTTATTTGCTTACTATGTGCTTATCTTATTAGCATATATGTATGTATGTATATGTGTATATATGTGTGTATGTGTGTATATGCGTAAGTATATGCATATGTATGTATGTGTGTGTGTATACACTATATATATATATATTCTGTGTGTGTGTGTACGTGCATGTGTGTGTGTGTAAAACAAAATATTGATAAAAGGCAGTGGTGGGATTCAGCTGGTTCATACCAGTTCCGGTGAAGCGGTTGTTAAATTACCCCCACTCCCGCTATCAAAGTGGATCTTGGGTGCTGCACTTCGCTGCGAGGGAAGGAGAAGGCCACTTTTTCTCCTTCTTCTCCCTGCTCCTCTTCCTTCCCTCATGCTGGTCACTCTGTTTCCCATTTCTCCATTGCAGCGCAATTCCCAGGATCCACTTTGATAGTGGGGGGGGGGGAATTTTAACACCCAGTTGGCCCAGGGTCAGGTTTGCCATTGTGGGAAGCTTGTCCTGCATGTGTGGTGGAGCTGGAGGAGGGGGATGGGCCACTCCTCCCACGACAGCCAACCTGACCCTGGACGAACTGGTTGTTAAATTATTTAAATCCCACCACTGATAAAAAATATCACAGTGCGTGATGCATTGATAAGTCAACAGACTTAAAATGTTCTAATTATTTCTATCGTTACATAAATTATTCTGCTAATTGTTGATACGGCCAATAATAGAAAATGTTTCTACAAAAATACATAGACATTTTTTTTTCAATTTGTTGAACAACACACAGCTGTTTAAATACAGAATTAAAAATAACTTGGGTTATGCCCTAAAGAGAAGATTCAGCCAAGATGGATTTGTTTGCTGTACTTGACACTCAGCTACAGTAGATTGTTAGAAACCACACAAGTACAGAAGGTTTTCAGGAGTTACACATTTAATCAAAGCACGGAAATTTAAACTCCAAACATTGCTATGCATGCTGGTACTAAATTAAAAGTGAATTTGTTTCATTTTTAATTGTTTTTTCTTTCTGGATATAAAAGGGAAATATATACAAAATACAGTATGATAGAACAGGAATTTAATAGTAAAACACCCATTAAAATAATTTTCTGTTTGCAGTTGGAGATTCAATTATTTCAAATCTGGAAAATAAAATGAAAAATATGGAGAACATATCCATACAACATGACCGATTGATGAATGGATTGATTAAATTTATATGCCACTCTTTCAAGTGACTCTAGGCATATCAATTTATAAATGGATCCTAAGTAAATGTGTGTACAATTGTAGTCCAATAAAACATACAACATTGAAAGGTAGCATTTTGTGCCTGTCCACAATGTTTGCTAATGTCTAGGGTCAGGTGACACAGTTACTGTAGACTGAGCTCAAATCACTTCCTTTTCAGAATTAAATCTATTTCATCATGATTTTCCATTTTTAAAAGTCTTCACACAAGCTGCATTATTGTGTGCATTTCTATAGCTCTATACATGTTCATATTTTATTTCTCTGTTGCAGGTAGTAATGCAAATTAATAAACTATATTATTGTGTGGAACTTAAAGTTAAATTTCTCTTAGCGCCAAGGACAGGCATTCTGATTATGAAATATCTCATACTTGGTGTGCAATCAGTGGGGAAATCAAACAAAGGAACAGAACATATACTTGGAAATCCCCTGTGCTGTTGGGCTTTTGTCTACGTTCCACACGATTCCCACCAACTGGATATTTGATTCATATTTATCATTGCGATTCATTTTAATTTTTCAGAGATTTCTAATCCAGTTATAAAGCATCCTGTTTTAAAATAATAGGGCTTTGAATGCTAAAATGACGTATGAACTTCTCAGTTGAGCTGACTTCAGATGCCCTTGACTATGAGATTTTATGAACAACTAGCTGATAACCCAGCATTGCCCGGGTATTTATTTATCCTAATCCTGTATTTGACAGGAAAAGTCCTGATTTTGGCAACAATTAAATTAGTTACAAATGTTTTCCCTGTGCCCCCAGAAGCATCAAGGAAAGTGATACCACCTTGTTGTTTTGCTAGCTGATCCATGATCATTTGGTATGCTTTTTTCTGATCTTGATTTAGAAGTGGCTTCTTGTTCGCAATATTTGCAGTAAGCTGTTCAAATGTTGTAGTTCTTTTCTCGTTTGTAATCTGCATGAAGTACCTCGTGTCAGTCTCGTAGTGGTGCAGGCAGGCCAAGTTAGAGTANTTTGTCTACATTCAGAGACAGGTTGTTGGCTTTACACCAGTTCGTTAACTTCTCCACCTCCTCTCTGTATGCTGTCTTGTCGTTCCTGCTGATAAGACCCACCACGGTCATGTCATCAGCGAACTTTAGGATGTGATTTGAACTGTGTATTGCTACACAGTCGTGCATCAGCAGGGTGAACAGAAGGGGACTGAGCACACAGCTTTGAGGGGCTCCAGTGCTCAGTATGATGGTGTTAGAAGTGTTATTCGTGATCCGGACTGTCTGAGGTATTCCAGTCAAAAAGTACAGGATCCAGTTACAGAGAGAGGTGTTCAGGCCCAACAGGGTCAGCTTCCTCATCAGGTGTTGAGAAATGATAGTATTGAATGCTGAACTAAAGTCTATGAACAGCATTCATACGTATGTGTCTTTGTTTTCTAGGTGAGTGAGGGCTAGATGGAGTGTAGTGGCGTCATCAGTAGAGCGATTCGAGTGGTATGCAAACTGCAATGGATCCAATGTTACGGGCACCAGGGTTTTTATATGCCTCATGACGAGCCTCTTGAAGCACTTCATGATGATGGGAGTAACTGCAATGGGACAGTAGTCATTGAGGCAGGGCACTGATGGTTTCTTCGGCACGGGGACAATGGTCGTTGTCTTGAAGCACTTTGGGACAACAGTGATACTCAGAGAGATGTTGAAGATGTCCGTGAAAACATTTGCCAGTTGGTCTGCACATCCTCTGAGTACTCTGCCATGAATATTGTCTGGTCCCGCAGCTTTCTGTGGATTCCGCAGTTTTCCATGGGTTCCGTGGGCCAAAGTATTTGAGTTTCATCTTCAGGATCTGGCCTTCTAAAGAGCAGTCAGGGTTGATATCTAGGACTGACCAGTTTGATCATCTTGCAGTCTAAGGGACTCGCAGGAGTCTTCTCCAGCACCATAGTCCAAAAGCCTCAATTCCTTGGCTCTCAGCCTTTGTTATCATCCAACCTTCACAGCCATACATTGCAACTGGAAAAACCATAGCCTTGACTCTATGCACTTTTTTTGGCAGGGTATAAATATACCTTTTTTACCATGTTGTTAGTTCATGTTATGCTGTGTCTTGACATAGCTAATTGATGAACCATTTAATTAATTAATGCACCAGTTCCTGAATATATCTGCTCTTTACAAATGTTATTTACTTTACCTATATTTGCAGCAAACAAAGGAGTTTTTTTGGAAATTTACAATAAAGATCCACTATATGAATCAGTGTTTTCCAAACTTGAGTAAATTACCCAAAATTGGGTTAAAATGTTATTTTGGGAGTGGGTGGGAACTGCACACAAACCTTTTAATGGTTTTGTAAGTGATCAAGTAATAGGTCAAGCAGTCAGTATTTGGAGTTTTTCTGGTTAACAATTCATAATGAATTGGGGAGGCTGTAATGCAATTATCAAGCACTTACTGTAAATGTATGAAGCAGGATTTCCCACTCTTGCCTTCATAAAGAACACGAAACAAAACTCCTAACACAGAACAACATTCTGAAAAAAAGTTTTAGTTGTGAAGGAACAAGTTTGGGAAGAACTGGTATAATTAAGAACAATAATAACCAACCCCCAATTACAGATATACCCATCAAAAACCAGTGGCTTCACATATCTCTAAATAATTTGGTTTATTTAAATGTTTTAACTCAAATATCTTGGTCATTCTGTAACTCTTTGTGTAAAAAGTGTATTTATTAATCTCATTTAACAATTGTTTAACACAATTTGTGACAGCAAGTTTTTTTTTCTTGCTCACACAATAAACAGCATTGTTTTGGAACTGCGCTAGAGGGTGCTGATTCTTTGTGTTTGATTTCATCTATAAAACAAACACCTGTGGAAAAGTAAACTAAGCATAAAATGTATTCTTTTTTTCTGATTCATCAGATTACAGTGGAAAATAATGTTCTTTCTTTAAAAAGTGCAGCAAATGAAAAAGGTATGGACTTTGTACCATGATTTCCTCCCATACATAAGCGTCAACTCAATTTTTGGACCAGTTAATAGAGTATCCTGCTATTTCAGTAAAGGTTTCTTTTGCAACACTGGGATAATAATATGAGGTTTAGAAATAAACAAAAAAATATCGTTTGAAAATAAAATCAATTTGTGCTCAAATGAATTATGTACTGCTCCATAGATCTCCTGATGATACACTATATTGCCAAAAGTATTTGCTCACCCATCCAAATAATCAGAATCAGGTGTTCCANACTCAGGTCGATGGGCACTTTGCCTTAGCTGTTACAATGTAATAAGGGTTAACCGGAGAGGCAGTTTCTGTAAGCAGGGCAATAAAGATTAAGTTAGAAACAACACCAGAATGCTTCCTTCCTGCCTTCCTTACAGGATTAACCCTGTAAAGTGGGGGAAAAAACAAAAGAAGATTTCTTCCAACAACCGGTTCTCTGAACCTCTTAGAAAGTTAAGAACCGGTTCTCCTGAATAAGTGCGAACTGGCTGAATCCCACCACTGCTTTAGGGACACAATCTGCTGAAGCAATATGAGAAATAAACCTCCAGGCATCTGTAAGGTAAAGAAGAAGAAAAACAGCAGAAAGCAGTGAGAAGAGAAGAGCTACTCTAACTAGAAAACAAGAAGACATGAGATACAGTTTTAGAAGAAGTTGCTCTTCTGTGGTGCTTGAAGAAAAGAACAATGATGATCATGTGGAGGTAGAGGGAGTAATCCAACATCATCAAACAAAACTATGCTACAGAAGCCAACTGTGATTGGCATTGCCAGCCAGCAATAAAAAAATCAAGCAGCCATTCCTGAAGTATATCTAATCAGTTTTGACCTTGGATCATTTATGTAATTCAAGTATTAAGACCAGGTAGTTGATAGAATAGCAGCATAACTATCCTTGCAGTGGGAGAGGAGATAATATGTCTCCATACAATTGTCATGCCACCCCCTTTTAGTGCATAAAATAAAGCAAGAGTCTCAGTCACACCATCAAGACCACTTTTTTTGATCGTCCTGCATGGATAACCCTAACAGGATTTGGTTTTTTCCCATGAAGAAGAACCTTAGCTTAAATACTAGTAACTTTACTTCTGTTAGCACTCTATAACACACCACACCACTTTATAAGTGAGCATGAGTAGGATTTTGGCAAGTGTAGTTAGCTGATTGCTTCCCTCTTCAATCAGCTGGGGACCCATCTAAACTTGTAGCCCCCAGTGGCTGTCCTAACAGTAAAAGCATTGCCTTGTGGATAGGCGAGTGTCCTAATGTTACAGTGCTCTTTGATGGATGTCTTGAAGGACACACCTTCCTCAAATTCACTGCCGCTTAAGTCCAGGGAACTATGAGTGCTGCATGTCTGCAGCCCATGGAAAGCTCCATACATGTGGATGGCTTCATTCTCTCCACGAGGACGCTTTGGACCTCTGTCATCATCAATGGATTGCAGGGCTGCGTTGCATTTCTCCGATATTTCCCTTAAGATTTCATTCACTTCCATGTCCTCCTCATGCTCAGGAACTGACATCTGCTCAAGGCTCCTCTTGCCAGGGCCACAGCTGAGGGAAAGGTCAGCACTGCCTTTGCTCTGAGGGAGCATTAATTTCTGCCAATCAAAAGCACAAATGTTGGGAGACATTAGCTGCACATCATCCTTGCTATTTTATCCCCCAACAGACTACATTGTTAAAATCCCTCATACACTAAAAACAAGCAGAAAATCATTTGTTTGGGTACATAGTAATATCTGAATTTTTGCAGGGAATCTCACACAATGGCTGCCATGGGTGAGGGCTCGTCATTCACAAAATCAGCACATCAAGACAGAAAACACCCATGATCCATTCTATACTTTCCCATACCAATTAATATTGTTTATCAGGCACAACACATAATCACAAACCAAACAGTGGACCATAGCCACCCACCATTTGGGTTCTTTAAGAATATCTATAGAGCAAATCAAAATGATGGTGGAGTTTGGTGTCTCTGAAACAGACCAGATCAGGAAACTGACAGGATTATAGGGATGATATTTTATTGTTTTAAGATATAATACATAATCATGAAAGCCTACAAGAGTTTCTCATTCACTCACTCATTCAATCAATCATTTTCTATTTATATAGCTGCCAACCTCACATACTGTATGACCCTTTGCTCATCTTATTCCAAATAGAATCAAGGCAGACTTAATTTGAGTTTCTTTCTCATGTTTTCCCTTTCTAAATTGCTGTTTTTCCTCCCTTAATGCCCTTCAATGCATTCCTGGAGACTTTATTTATTTATTTTCATTACTATAGCTGCCCATCAAGGTAAGTGACTCTGGGCATTGTACAGTCCTAAAAACAATTGAAAACGCTGTATAGTATTGTATAAAAATAAATATATATGGTGGTCAAGGAAAACTATCACTATAGGGTGTCCATATGGTCAGGAAACAGAACCCTTCAAACACTTGAGAGTGGGGGCAACACCTGAGCAAATAATGAGGTCTTCAAGGCTTTATGGAAAGCTGCTAGGATTAGGGTCACCCTAACCTCTGAAGAGAGGATATTCCATAAGGCAGGGCCTGTGGCAGAGAAAACATATCTCCTAGTTCCTGCCGGATAACAGTCTCCAGAGTTGCTTAGTTTCTTTTTCTTTTTAATTAAAAGAGACTAAATAAAAATAAAGTCCAATTGATCAGGAAGCCAAGCAGACATCAATTAACTTTAGTATATGTCATAATTAATTTCTGATTTTTATGCTTGGAGACTACACCAGGGGTTTAACCTAAGTGTTTTTTTATGAGTTATGTGAAGCTATTTTGACGATAAACATAACTTTGCTTTATGACAAAGTATGACCACCTAAGTGGTACAGAAGTGACCTACTGACTTCAGCACTTACATCTAGCACAGAAGCAAGTTGTTTGGCTTGGCTGGCTAATTCTTTCAGCTGGACATTTCTCTCCTTCAGAGAAGCAATTTCTTCTTGCTTTTGGGTCAATGTCTCCTGTAGCTGTTGGGAAATGAATATGGTCAGGTAGGAATCCCGAGCACAGAATATCTTGTTGAAGAAATGTTGACAACAGCCAACCTTTGTGATCTATCCCTTCCCTTCTCTCCTCAACCCCCAAAAACTTTTGCTAAAGTGGTTCATTGTTTAATTTTAATTAAACTTAACTTCAAGTTCTTAAACCTACATTTTTAATCTGCACATTAAAAGATTAGCCCACAACATACCAATCAAATAAATAACTGAAATTTATTTTCAGTAGAAAAGAATTTTCAAGCCATAGTTTTTAAAACTACTATAGACAGATGCAGCTAAAGCCAATGCGTTTTATTTTCTTAGTAATTGTTTGCTTTATTTTTGGCGCTTTTAAATCAGTGTTTGACTCCTGGCAATTGGTGGACTAGCCTGCGCAATTTATTTGATTTTTTTATTTTTTGCAAGATTTCAGAGTGGTTTGCCATTGCCTCATTCTAAGGACTGAAAGAGAATGACTGGCACAAGCTGGCTTTATGCCTAAGGTGAGACTATATCTCTCAGCTCATCCTTAACTACTACATCAAAGTGGTTCTCTTCCTATTCATTACAGTACTGCTTCCATATTTGGGGTATCAAAACCTGCACACCACTAGACAGCAATAATGAGATAGAGAAAATACTTTTCTTCTATCTCAGAGTTACTTGGATTTTTTTTTTTCATCTCAATGTGATGGCTCTATTATTCATCTTGCTGCAGTGCTCAATGCATTACTGTTCGAATGGCTTGCTGCTAAGTAAATGCCTAGCTTACTTTTCATAGCCATTCACTCTTCATACCTGATTATTTTCCACAAGTGCATCCCCCAGCGCCTTTTGATTTTGATCTGCCAATTCTTTCCAGTACTGCTCAGTGGATGAGACACTCTCTAGGTTTGGATCGATTTGAAGAGGTTTCTGGAGGCAGGGACTGGGGGGGCTTCCATTATCCACAGGGAAAGGAAAATCCAACAGTGGAGCCATCAGAGGGGAAGGATCTGGAGAAGAATAGGAATAAAAGTATATAGTTGGTTGATTCCATTTTTCTTGCTGGCATGTGCACAATGTAGCTGGGAAGCAATTTAGGCTAAATTAAGCACAGAGCAACTAACTCTGAAATAATGTCGGTGAATCTCAAAAAAACAGCATCAGGTTGCAGACAGTTCTTTCCAGAGGTTTGAACTGTTGTCTTGCAGATGAGCATTGAAATTAAGATAATGGCTGCAGGTTAAGCAGCTATTATCCCATTTGGCTTTTTATCATATTTTTTCAAAATTCCTTCAGTCAAAAATAATTATTTACCAATGCTTTACCAACTTGTAACTACAGTTGAATCCAAGATTTCCATTGCTAAGCAAGACAGTTGTTAAGTAAGTTTTGCCCCATTTTATGACTGTTTTTGCCACAGTTGTTAAGTGAATCACTGCAGTTATTAAGTTAATAACACGGTTTGTTAACTGAATCCAGCTTCTCCGTTGACTTTGCTTGTCGGAAGGTCACAAAAGGTGATCACATGACCCTTGGACACTGCAACCATCATAAATACACACCTGTTGCCAAGCATCTGAATTTTGATCACATGACCCTGGGGATTCTGCAATGGTGGTAAGTATGAACAGCCATCATAAATCCCTTTTTCCAGTGCTGTTGTAACTTTGGACTGTCACTAACGAATGATTCTAAGTGGAGTATTACCTGTAGCAGGGGTGGGTTCTGGCTTCTGTTACTGCCAGTTTGCTCAGGGACGCGCTTCACATGCTACGCGCACATGCGCCAAAGCAAAAAACAAAATGGCGGCACCTATGGCGCCGCTGATAGAACCGGTTTGGGGGCATGGCCGGCCAAGTTACTACCTACTCGGCTGAACTGGTCTGAACCGGTAGGAACCCACCTCTGACCTGTAGACATGAGTGTCTGCAGAAGGGGCAATAAGCAAGCAAAATATTGGCAGCCACAATTATGTGTCCAACCACCCACAGCGCTTCCCCTTTTATATGTGCTGCACATGAAACTCATTTAAAAATGTCAGGGCTTTGATCACATGGCTGCAATTACCATATTTTTTCCCTCATACCCCTGCCAATAGAACCTGATTTTCATCCACATTGGAGTCAAGAGCAGTCAGAAGGACAAATAGAAGGGGAAAGATTATCCTAAACATTTCAGCAGTTTGCCACTAGAGGGCATCAGATTAGGAAACCTTAATTTAAAGCAAGTTTCCCTAAATTTAGGATTTTTGTCCATTGTTAAATGGGTTATGTGAGCAATTTCCACTGTGCCCAGTAGAGCCTACTCTAAAGTATGCATGCATAGCTTTAAGATGGGAGCAAATGTTAAGGAATTAATAATTTATTTAATTTATTCAAATCCCACCTTTATTATTTTTTACAAATAATTCAAGACAGCACACCTTCCTCCTCCTATTTTCCCCACAACAACCTGTAATATAAATTTACTAACAACCATACACAGGAGGAATTTGATTGGAACCACAGAAATACCGAAAGTGGGTGAGAGATGGCTATTGATAAAAAAAAATATACCTTGCCATAAAACAGGCAAAATCTATTGGTAGCCACCCATTCACAGGCCTCTAGTTTCTTTACTTTTAGTCTAAAGTAATTTTGATGCAAAAAAAGGCCTAATGTAATATAAAGTAAAGCTGTAGTACTTGGTTAATAAGAATTTGGAAGCAATTTAGAGTATTTAATTAAATGCTCCTCCATATTTTGACACAATGGTTTTTCTATGTAAAGAAAATGAACTCCAAAAATATCAGTACAAATGAAGCGAATATATGGCAGGTATTATTTTTCAAAATAAAAATAAGTTTCCCTTCATTTCAAAGAAATGTGATTTAATGAGATTGGGTCCATTGTTTATGATATCTATTCTTTCTTCTGGTCTTTTAATAATAACATTAATGTTATTATTATACAATTATAATTGTTCTTTTTAATATGGTCATTTTATGTTTTTTTTAATTGTTGCCATCCAGAATCATACTTTGTAGATGCGTGGCCATACTGTATAAATATGGCAAATAAAAATAAATAAGCAAGGCCAAATAGAATGCAAGGTGGCTTCACACCCAAGTTGACATACATGATATATGCAATGCATGGTCAATAACTGAATTACAGTCAATTCTTTAATCAAGTGGTAGGCATCCCATTGAAGAAATTCATAGAAAGATTTCATTGCCTGCACAAAATGTTAATTAAATTCTCTGCATACTTGCCAGATAAGAAGTTGTCCACGGCATCTCGAAACTCCTGGAAATCAAAGTCATCCTCAGGTTGCAAGGAAGGGCTCTGAAAAGTATGAAAGAAATGAGCCAATTAGGGAAACTTTTCTCCTGAAACACCTTCTGACATTTTCTTCCCATGCGTAATAAACATCTTCACTCGCACCTGAAAATCCACTGGCCACCCCAGGCAGTGACGGGAACAAACTGGCACTAACATGCTGCCAAAGGAAAAGAAAAGACAGCTGAAATTGGACTGTCATGGGCGCTGAAGGGCAAGGGAATACCTATTGAGGTATTTGCTGTGATATTCTGGTTTTCTTTCAGGAGAAAGTTGGACAGACACAGACTTCAGAGAATAATTAAAACTGCAGAAAAAACAGTTACTACCAACCTGATTTCCATTGAGGCCCTGTACACTGGGCCAAAAAGAGGGCTGTGAAAATATTTACAGACCCCTCGCATCCTGGACATAAATTGTTTCAACTCCTATCCTCAAAACGCTATAGAGCACTGCATACCAAGACAACTAAACACAAGAACAGTTTTTTCCCAAATGCCATCACTCTGCTAAACAAATAATTCCCTCACCACTGTCAAACTATTCACTAAGGCTGCATTACTATTACTATTAGTCTTCTCATCCTCCCACTTATGACTGCAGAACTGTAACTTTGTTTCTTGTATCCTTATAATTTATATTGATATTGATTGTTTCCTGATTGCTTATTTGTACCCTATGATTATCATTTGTTGTATCTTATGATTCTTGACAAATGTATCTTGTCCTTTCTGCACTCTGAGAGCATATGTACCAAAAACAAATTCCTTGTGTGTCCAATCACATTTGGCCAATATAGAATTCTATTCTACTCTATTCTATTCTATTATAGCCCTTGCGGATTTCACAGGCACTACCATCATAAGCGATGCTTCTCCCTACGTGCCATATCGTGATCTAATTGGCTAGATTGTGCGAGGATTGTGCGATCCAATTAACTTCAGAAAGGCATAAAATATTATGGCAGAACATTCATAAAGTTCAATAATATGTTCAGGGATGCAGCTATTTAAAAGGAAACTCAGTACAGTGGATATAAATCTCAGGAAGTGTGTATAGAATTGTAGACCAAATTAATTGCCATAGCCTCACCCAGAGATACACACACTGACATATGATTTATTGAATAATACATAATTGTCTAGTTTGTACCCTAAGTGTTTAAACTACAGTTGGTTAGTATAATATCTGAAGCAATGGTGAAATTTGATTTTTTTTTTACTACTG